ATAAAGGTATTTATTTTTTCCAAATCTTTTTTACTAGTATTATTATTAGTAATAGTTAAGCCTCTATTCAAATTTCCGTTAACTTGAACTCCGAAGCACGAAGTCAGCTAATTGGCTATGGATAAATATTCTAAACACCTGCCATTTGAAATAATAATAATATTGTTATGTTAAATAATTCATTTATTTATTTCAAATGGCAGGCGTTTTGATAGTTATCATTAGCCATTTAGCTGACTTCGGGCTTCACCGAGTGGAGGAGGAACATCAAAGTGACAAAAGTCGTGAGGGGGGACAGAATAATGATTCACAGATGTAACAGAAACAGACAAAAGGCAGAGAAAAGGTAAAATGAATACTGTTGAAGGGGTCAAATATGACATACAGTGGGGTGATGGTAGTTTGAAGTCAACTGTCGGTTAATAGACTTTTTTGTCGTATGAGTATACGTTTCCCAGTGTTCACCACGAGGAGGTAAGTCTATCGCATACCCCTTATTTTAAATAATATAATCTATATATCTATATAATATATATAATAATATATACAGCTTGCCTAGACATTGAAGCATTACAATGAGATTTAATTGGACATGAAACAATGTTTCTAAATCATTATGAAACTTTACAAATTCTACTTTAACGAAACTTCTTAGAGAAAACATTGCGGCAGTAAAGGAATGACGTGTTTAAACATGAACTTTAACGAATTTGACTAAATTTAAACACAATTAGCAAGAGTTATTTTTACTTGCTTGTTGGTTTAAAATAGATTACAATATAAATATGAATTTTTCTTTAAAACACTCGTGATTCTTTTTTTCAATTCATATATCCTGTTTCTATCCTTGATCTATTTAAAGATTTGATAAATTAAATCAGAATTATGTTCGCTGAAATAAAACAGAAGATAAATAAACAGTAGGAGAAATATTTATTGAGAAATTGTATAGATTTTCTAGCTCAGGTATTAGCCTAGATTCTTAAAGATTTACTCTTCAAATAACAAAATGTCAAACTTCCTTAATGGAGCATGTATTCTATGCTGAAGGCAACTTATTAAATAAAAAAGTAATTCCTATTCCCCGCTCTTTGTATTATATTATATATAAATTTTTTTTATTTTTTTATTTTTTTCTAAAAAATGTAGTCATTTGTAAAAGAATAGTGTGGATTTTGTAATTTAATTTGCTATAAAATTGTCTACATTTTGTGTACAGTTGTATAAATTTGCCTGCTACTTTGTTGCATATTTGGTGTGGCTGGGTCCCACAAAATAATGTCCTTTATTACAATTTAAAAGCTTCGTAAAAATTGCAAGAGAATTAAGAATTTACAAGTTTAAGTTTGATAAATATTAATGCTAACTTTAGTTTAAATTCCAAATGAGTTTATCATATTTCCTTAAAACTAGGCATTCTATATATCGAGAGCATTTGTATGTCCCATTTGATGGTAACCTTAGTGAAAATACCCAATATACCAGCAAAGATGAGATTTTTAAAATATTTGTTACAAATTTCTCGGACTTGTAATGAAGTGTAGACGATTTCACGACATGAAATAATAAAATTTCAATTGTTTTAAAAATATTGGTAAACGTTACATATTTAATATTTTTTAAAACTCAATATGTTGTTGCATTAGTTACACTTTCCAGAATATTTGATTCATAGTCTTGGTCGCTTTGTAAACTGCATAAATGCCGCTAACTTCGCCAATTGTTGTAATTTTATGTTTCCCAAATGGTGTTTTTTTAATTAATGATAAAGAAAGAAATAGTTAATAAGATGTAATTACTCATTCGTATGTTAGATCAGAAGTTTGAAACCTTATTAATTGGTTAATGGTTGTTTATTTATTGTTAAAAATAATCTACATTTTTATTATTTATATCTATTAATAACTTATTAATGATTATTAATTATTAATAGGCCTCATTGAATTGCTTTTTGCTGTCATAATAGAAACTACTTATGATATCTTGCCGGTTAGTGGCCAAATGAAAATCGATAGAAAATTTTAGATCCCATTTTTGTCAAATTATCATATGAGCAAACATCTGATATCACCGTACTAATGTATAGTAATCCTAAGTTAACATGAAACCAAATGGAATAAAGGAATTTATAACTTAAGTACTTGACCGAAAAATCTATTTATCCACTTAATAATGAAATAGCTTGCTGCCCATTATGGTATTTGGGCCAATTGCGTGTGTAATGATTCTTTAAATAGAAATGCGCAAGAGAAAATTAAATAAATTGCACAATATTTTAAAATTACCTCCTACCTCCTTATAATACCATATCTATTTTTAAATTGTTGCAATTTCATGGATCAAATTCATTATTTCACTAGATTTTCCAAGACATGGGTTGAGTGTTTGGAAAATCGTAAGTGTATGAAATAATTTTCCTTCTGTCGTATTCAAAAGGTCAGCACAAGTGATTTACAATGTTTTGTGTGAAATGCGTGAGAGTAAGATTAACTTTTGTTTGGAGATAAACAGACTATAAAAAATGCTCGACCTTTTAGTATTTCGGGAAGGAATTAAATAGAAACACTGGGGGGTTGTCGATTGGGTTGAGATACTGGAACGCCAACCTTAAGTTGAATCTCGTTAAGTTAATTATTTCGACAACTCAAAAGTTGGACATAATATACAAGATATATGTTAAGAGTTTAGGGTAATGCATTGGTAAAAAAGTCGAATATACTTACCAACTCAGTAATTTTTTAAATTCAAAATATAATTTTAAAATTTCATCCACTAATAACAAATAAAAAGAGGTTTTTGTTCAGAACTTTCTATTATTTAATCATTGAAGCAAATAAATGCATTTCGAGAGTTGGCGGTATATTTTTACCATTGCATAAGCTCAACACAACTGTACTTGCAATTCAATAACCACAATTACAGGACTCAAATAAAATTTATCCTTGACTTTACTAATGAAATAAACAACTTATAAGATGATAAAAGTTGTAGAATTCTAATAAATAAACTCACAAAATATACCATGACACTTATTCCATTCATGGAATGTTATAATGAACCCCAACAACTTTGCTTTCCACTCTACCATAATATACGCATCTCCTTTGGGGTTCCTCTTCTTGAAAAAAAGGACAAAAAAACGCATCGTGTCTTTTGTCAATATAGCGCAGTACACATGCGTCGGCGTAACAATTTGTTCTTTGCGTGCTGAGGAAATTTGCACTTCTATTTTTATTTTGTGTTCATTTACTGCAGCCATTTTCTATGAATCCCTCTTACCACCTAAACTACAGCCATTTTTACACAATTTTAAATATGGCGGTTTAATTTCTTTGTATCACAACGTGAAATTTTGCTATTTCAGAATTTTGATAAACTAAATTTAAAATTTTAGACCATGAAAGGATTATGATTTGCCTCGGAAGGTAGATAATAATAAATCTGCCACCGAAAAGACGAATTATTTTCCTAAATTTATCTGCCACTTAAATGCGTTTTAAGGACATTGAAGGGCTCTTTTAGTAGAAATTGCATTTAAATTGCATTTTAATACGGCCAACAGCATCTTTTATTTCTAGTGGGTACTTGCATCGCAAAATAGGTCAGTTTTAGAGCTCGAATGTTGATCTTGTGCGTTAAGAAGTTTGTGGGAGTATATATTTAGGTACATTAATACTATAAATGGTCTAAAATTACTGTAAAATATCGCGCATTAAACTATTAAGGAAAATGATGGCGAATATTTTTTCAGAGATGAGTGCCTATTGGACGCAAGATATCTGACTGAGTAAATACAATGCAACAATATTTTTACGACAATCAAGAAATCTTAAGCGTTGGATGTCAAAGGATTAGACTCAGTATTATCGATTATTTGAGTTCATCTTGAGAAAACCATATTCTTATCCCTGTTATTTTAATGTTTCCTCCTATAACTTCACATTCAACTCTTTACTGTGCAACATAAAAGTCAACTGATGTTGCTCGACCAACCACAGAATTCCAAAAAATTTTAAAGTTTTTCTTATCCACGAATCTGCAGGTCAAATCACAAGGAATTTGTACTAAGATTGCACCTAATGAAACATACCTTTTAGTAGAAAACTTTAAAGCACAAACAAAATGAGCACAACCCCGCCTCACCCACCCCCCCCTCGCCGCCCAACTTCTAGCTTTCCATTCAATTTCAGGAGAAATCTCATTTTTAAACATGTAAATGGTTTTTGGTATCACATGTGCATGAATACTTCAACGCAAAAAGCAAACCGAAAACCAATAACATCTAATTAGCCTATTTCAAAAAAGCAAAAGGCACACATAAAGTTGGCGATATATCAAAGAAAATGAAAAAATTCTCAACTCTAAGGGCGCATAATGTTAGTTCAAGTACAAAGTCCACATTTGAGTGATAAATATTATCATTTATTGAACGTGGAACGAAGGAGTTGTATTGGACTTCCGACCGAATGTATGTTGTGGGAGTTCTTTGAGAAATGAGCTTAACGAGGAAAAATAGATTTAAAATATCTTTGAAATTTTTCTAAAATTGTTAGTTTTCCACATAATAAACCTATTATACTGGTTATCCATGATTATATTACTAAAGATAGTACCTTAGATAGTTATGATATTTAACAAATACAATGGCTAAGGTCACCTTGAAAATGGGTTTTATTGACCTGTTAATTTTCCCTGTCCACAACAAAATACCTCATTCTGATGATGGTTCTTATCTCACAAGGGGACCATTACAGTGCGTTAGTGCTTTCATGCGCAATAAATAAATCAATATCAAGGTGCAACCGTGGGGTCTGCATTGTGCCATCGTGCAATTGGCTGCCCGTGGGCAATTGGCAACCAATCGAGGAACGGGTTGGCGTAGGAGGACGCAATTATGTGGAATTCGAGCTTCCGTTCTAAGGGAAAAGTCTTTGCCTGCCCTTGTGCATCTCTAGTTGTAGTTCTTCTCTCTAACTCGACTTTCGGATTTCTTTAATATCATGGAGGAAGCCAACGGTGAAACATACTCCGACACCAGTGCCTTTTTACGCGTGAGCATTCACTAAGATCTAAGAATAAATCAATAGTGAAGTCGCATGTTGATAAGGAAGATAGAATGCATGCAGGATCTTTGTATGGGTGGTGGCTTACATAGCTGAGTATTAGTCAAGAATATCTGTATGCACATCTATCTCACATGGAATTAAATAATTACCTCATTTAATATAGCTTAACAGCCGATATGACACAAATGCTGAAGCCGAGGTTGTCCAGTGGATTAATCAAATTGTTGGAGAGAGCGTACCTCTCGGACGAGAAAATGTTCAACGAGCACTCAAGGATGGCAAGATTCTTGTGAGGTTAGTCTTATGGATTTAGAAATTAAGTTTCTTTGTGCTAATATTGAATCACAATGAACGCTTCGTAATATAGACTCATTGACGCTGTTTACGAGAGAACATCAAATCTACCACCAGCAGCTCACAATGTTCGCCGACCGCTAAAACCAAACACCATGAACGCTCCATTTAAACAGGTATGTCCTAGAAACGGTGTATTTAAACTGATCGATGGAACTAAATGTAGTAACTTCAGATTAATCTGTAGATGGAGAATATCCAAATATTTTTGGATGCCGCCGAAGCTTATGGTGTTCCCAAGACTAGCCTATTCCAGACCGTTGATCTTTATGAAGCCCGAAATATGTCACAAGTTATCAACACCATCATGCAACTTGGCACTGAAGTATGTTGCAGTAAATTCATTCAAATTAAATGGAATCATTTTTAGGTGCTTTGTTCTTTAGAAAATTTGCGCTATTTGCTTTAATCTGTATGTTTTAGTGCCAAAGAAATGGTTTCTCTGGCCCGATTTGTGGACCAAGACCCACTAATAAACAGCAGCGTCAATGGACTGAAGCGCAGCTTAGAGCCAGCGAAGGCATTGTGTCTCTTCAGTCAGGAACCAACAAGTTTGCTTCTCAAAAGGGTATGACCTTCGGTGGTGTTCGTCATGGCGCCGATATTAAGGCCGATGACATGACTTTGGAGAGTAAGATTTTGCGTGTGAATATCTTAATCCCTCAAAATTATGGAAAAGGGGATTTTGAGAATTTTTCCTTCTTTTCAAGGTCAGGGCATTTGCAGTCTCCAGATGGGAACAAATAAATTTGCCTCACAAAAGGGCATGTCTTTCGGTTCTGTTCGTCACGTTGCAGATATTCGTTGCGATGATGTCACAAAGGATGGACAGGGTATTATTACCCTTCAAATGGGCACCAATCAATGTGCCTCTCAAAAGGTAAAATAAAGGCTTACAAATTCCAAAGTGACCATTTTTGTTTTAATTTACATTTAGGTCTTACTAACCTCTGCATTAAAATAAAATTATATCAATCCGTCACATTTGAAGCAAAGCTGTTAAATGAAACCGTCAGTTTTATTTTCACGCCAATTGCATCCACTGACTCTAAGATACATTAAAATGTGAATTATTGTTCAAAAGTTGGCAACTTAAATCATCTTGATAATAGTTGAAAATCAATCAAAGCCTTATTTGCCATGAACAAATTTCAGAATAAACTAGAGATAACAGAAAAAAACCAAACTTTGCAATTAGATTATAATGGATGCCTTAAACTAAGCTCTTATTGTTTTACTTGAAAAGGGCATGGCAATGGGAGGCGTTCGCCATGGCGCTGATATTCGTTGCGATAACATGTCCCGTGAGGGTCAGTCCACAATCACCCTCCAGTATGGTACCAACAAATTCGCTTCTCAATCCGGTATGACCGCAATTGGTGGTGTTCGTCATATTGCCGACATCCGAGTCGGGCAAATGTCAGCCGAAGGCGCTTCGCATCTTGGTTTACAAATGGGCCCCGGTGCTAACCAGGTGAGATTCATTCACCCTTGAATTCTTGAATGCCTCCGGTACTAATCACTCATTGATTTGTAGGTCGCAACACAATCTGGAATGTCATTTGGTGCAATTCGTCATATCAACGACTCTCACTGAGTTGGCAGAAGATGCCTTTACTTTCTTGTTTCTTCGAACCCCATTTTCTTCCATTTTGCCATCCCACTAATGAAGTTATCCACAACCCCATCCTTATTTCGGGCCTATTTATCTGAATTCCGTTTCGTGAAAAAGCTTTGAAATCAAGAGAAAATACTCAGTATGGACAAGTGGTCGTTTACTTATCTTTACCACCTTTTACAACCATTATTGTCCATTCTTTTGTTCCCTCTTACTCTTCTTGTTGTTTCTCCCAAGTTTCTTTTCATTTTACTTCTTGTTATGGCCATTCTTTAATCTGAAACAATAAATTGGCACTTTAGGAATGTTGTGATTTCGCTAAGATTTTTGTACCACATTATGTATCCTTGGATAAATGGCTGCGTACATTTTACTGTTCGGGACAGCGGGTGCATAGTTGTGAGATAGTAATTGTGAAAAATATTGATAGGATTTACGCTGATTTACAACTCAGTTCAGAAAAGACCATGTTTGCTTTGTTGCCCCTTTTTCCTAAAAATTGTTGAGATAGCTGCTGTTTTACCTCATTGAATCCTTACTTGTCATTTATTGAACTGCTGAAAGCATTCAGAAATTAAACACTTTTATTACGGCTAAATATTCAATTTCTTGCGGAAAGTTAACAGCCACCTCATCCTTTCGGCGATTTCAAACTTCTCTTGAGGATTTGTAGCTTCAACAAGTAAAGCCTACTTTGACCGTGACAAACCGGTCAAATAAAAAAATTCCATGGCATTTTGATTGAATTAAATTTTTTTTTCTATTTGACGCTTGAAGGTCTTCGTGATCCACGGATACGTCTCTGAAATGATCATTTAAAGATATTAGAGGTAAATTTGTATTAATACTTCAGAAATCGCTATATCCGGTACATTAATAGCTGAATAGCATAAATCAAAATGTTTTCATTAAAAATTTGCGGATTAATATGTTATTTGTTTATTTATTGTGTTGCTAAAACTAATTTTTGAGGGAATATAAACACCCACTTAATACTTATTTCCCTGTTTCGAGAGACCAGTAAGAAATGGGAAATGGGATATTCCTACTTGCAGTTAGAAAGGAATGTTGTGGAGATGTGGGGCTGGTGAAATACATGCTACTTATTATGGCATGAAATGTAAATGCCAACGATGCCAAATTCCTTCTTAATTCATGGCCTAAATTCAGCTCCTCCGCAGAAACGCTACCTCACCATTTTTTAAATTTTTTTCATAAAGGTTTTAGGTATAAAGGAATGTTTGTAAACTGACGCATTTTGCTATTTAGTTATTTAATTAAAATGTTCTCAAACTGAAACAGCGTTATACTTACACTGCGACTAATTTTAGTCTAATCAAATCTTATTAGTAAGCCTCATGCCGTTTCTGTTACACATTTTTACTTAATAATGAAAAATCGCTGTAAATTCCATATTTCAATTAAAGGAACTACTAAATGAAATAAAAAAGGAGATAAATGGCTCACATTAAATCTCCAATTTACGATTTTACTATATATATCCAATTATGTTATTTGAAAAGCTAATATTGCAAATGTTGAAAAAATTGTTCAATAGTGTACATGAAATTTTTTGTATTTAATAATTTTTGAACTACTTCCTTGATTTTGAATTATTTCTGAATTCTAGTTCTACCTCATTCCCTCGGAATCGGTTGCCAAAAATTATACCAAAATATCTGCGCCCACTTGATTATATCGTTGAGTAAGAGCAAAGAACGTTACCTGATTGAATGAATTAATGTACCCGAAACAGATTTTGGAAACTCAGACCAAAGCCAGCACCTAATAACAGCAAACGACCGTTCGGAAAAGTAGAACACGAAGAACTATGAAGGCCAACGTTTATTGAATAAATTGCTAGGACAGACAAACGCGTAGATTTGTATAGTGTATGAATGGAAACAGAAAGTCAGGTTGAATGCACTTTTAATGTGAATGTAGATGTGTCTTTAAACGAACAGAGATACAAGAGGAAAAAAGTACACATGACACACATAGGTTTAAATCTGATGCAGATGCTACACAAAAAAGCCTTAACTAAACCTCAGCAATCTCGGTAGCAAACGCCCCTAGTATGGAACTACCCGAGAAATTAGCTGGGCTGGAGTGAGGGTCGTTTACAGTGGATGAGTACCCCTGGCTCAGAGTTAGCCAATAAATAAAAGTTAGGTTATGCTGACCATGCTGCACCTATTGGTTGCTGGCTGTAACCACCAAAGCATATGCTCTCTGGTACTACCAACATTACAGTCGCATTTGGTGGTTACGGAGTTAATAGCACACCACCCATTCAAGAATGTTCAAACCTCATTGAAATTGCTTGGTTCAATTCATTTCCTAATACTGTAAATGGAGACAAAATGTAGTGAGACAATATCTATTTTCAAAGTACTAAATCACGCATTGAATATTGGATGGATCAAATTTAGGCGAGAGATGATTAATTGTGTCACCCATGATAAAAAAGATTATTGTATAATGATTTGCCTGAGTTATACGCAAATGTTCCATTTAAAACAATCTTAAAATATTTACAAACAGGATTTTTCAGCATAAGATAAGAGTTTGGAAAAGTTTCAAATTAAATTTATAAAGAATTAGCTCGTTTTTGAAACTAGAGGAGATTATTACGTATAATTCAATAAAATAGATAATCTAGAATTTTTTTACTATACTAATACTTCAGTCAATTATTAATAATGATAAACAGACATAATAATTTTAGTTTCCTGTGCTTATCGCGTCATGAGTTTGATCCAAGTATAATAATTCCACGATTAGCTAAAGTAACTCTAATTTTACGTGACATTATATTCAATAAAAATTTCATGTTTGGTTTTGAAAAAAATATTGTTGTTTAAAAGGTTAAACCGTCAAATTATCTCATAAAAGTTTAAAATCCGCAATTGTTAAAATTAATTTTAAAAAGAATATATACCATATTCCTGAAATTCTATAGGTTGGTATAAGGCCCAAGAAATAGAGAGGGCAGTTCGAATAAATTGTTGTAAGGGATGGAAGTTGCTATTGGTAAGTGATTTTTAAACATTTTATGATGTAGAAAAATGCTGTGATCTAAAAAATTTGGATGATAATTGGGCGGAAATCATTCACGTTGCGGACACTTATGCTCTAGGACAGTATGTTTACATTTTTGTAATTTAATCCAATTTAGGCCTAAAAAGTGTCTTAAACTCATAACGAACAAGATTTTCCAACAAAATCCCAACGTGTCCATGAAGGCCATTACGGTTTGCATAATTTTACAATGTGGTTATTTCTTTAGCTTCTTGATTCTTGCATTAAAAATGCGGGAAATGCGTTTGTCCGCGAGATGTCTTCAAAGGAGTTCATACAAAATTTTAAGAAAGGATATCCAGTAAGTGCTTGTTTTCTTATTTATGTTTTCATAGAAACTACAAACGAAACCTCGAATGAGGCTTATCGACCTTTCAAAGGGTTGGTGGAAGGATTACTCTTCTAATCCAGAAATAAGGTATTTCATGTTTTGGTCTTTTTTTCACTCTATTCTAGTCTTCTCACTGGACTTTATCCGTGGATTCAAATGGAATATCCAACACACGTTCTTGAATACGAAGCTTCACAGAATGTCAGTATTTTATACTACTGTAATCAAATTATTAAGCCTGCGTCGTAATACAATTTTCTATTCTCACATTAGATTGAAAGTAAAATGAAGAACAGGGAAAAGATTCGAAACCTTCAGGCACAGGAAGAGGAGGATCTTGCCAAAGGTTTGTCTTACCTATATTTCACTATTTGGCCATTTCCCATTATTTATAAGGTTGACCTTTTAAAGCACTTTACTTTGTTGTTATTGTGATCATTACTTTACTCGATAATTATTTTTTGCAATTTTTCTGACTGCTAACTTTCGACTTTATTTTGAATCCAGTCTATTTATTCTATTTTATGTTTTTGGTTTAAAATAGACAAAAATGCTTTAATAATTGTATTTCCTTTATTGTGGGTTCTTTATCTAAACGTAGAAATACTAGCATTTTTCGTCATTCTTTTTTCAGGTTTGATGACTTACTATTTATTAACTATTTAGGTTGCCTTTTCTCTATTAACTAATTAAAAAGTAATTAGCGTGTTACGCCAACGTAGTCGTAGTTTTTGGTAACCATAGTGTTTCCCCTTTGTCATTGAAGTCTTTTCTTTGTTTGGTTCCATTTCAATAACCATAATACCAGTACTCATACTTATTAGCTAAAGTTTTTGTTGGTGGTACCGAAGTTTAGAAATTTGGCCGTTTCTGTCGGTGATAACTAATTTGGCTGCCTGGTTAACGAGTAGCTTCAGCGACGGTTTCTCCCTAGGTGTAGTAGTGGGAATCCAGTAATCGATAATCCATTCCATATGAGCTGGAGCTTGTTAGTTTCTTTTGATTGAAACAAAAGACTTCGTCTAGGCTTTCTTATTGTAACAAGTTCACTAGCTTAAATAGAGCAATTTGTGTAAATTTTGTGCTTACATTGGCGTGATATTTAGTGCTATATAACTTCAAGTTCCAGGAAAAATTTATTGCCACGGTTATATGAAATATAATGTTTCAAACTCGAACTTAAGCAAATGAAAAAGATGTCTTTTTCCAATGTTCGCCACAAGTTTTTATTTCGTATTATTTTATACTCCTTTCTTAAGCTATCGCCTTATCGCTCTCTGAGAATGAAGCCAAAGGTGCTCAGTCTAGAAATCAACCGCTTGCACAACAAGTCCAGAAGCCACAGGCCTCATCGAGTGCCTATCCAAGTCTCCAAAGCACGGGAAACGCAAGCAGTACTACACCCATTCCGAACGGTAACCTAAATTATGGCACTGCTAGAGCTCAATTCGACTTTGAAGCAGCGGAGGATAATGAAATCTCCTTCAAAGAGGGTGATATTATCACTTTAGTCGATATTTCGGACCAAAATTGGTGGAAGGGCAGAATTCGGGGAACTGAGGGTCTGTTCCCTGCTCAGTTCGTCATTCGAGAATCTGCGGATACTGGAAAGGAAACTAAAGTTCCTGGAGTAAGTTTTCACTTTTTTTGAGTTCACTTTTGCCTAACTTGTGAAGGTGCTTTTCTTATTGACTTTGTTCTGTTGTCCATGGGAGTAGTAGTTGAGTGAATATATTTTTGAAATCGCCTTAGTGGAGTTGTTGATTGATTCATTAAAAGTGGAACATTCTTTTTATTTCTATTGTACCTTTGTGATTTCTATATTTCATTGTTCTGTGGCTCTGTTTTAAAGTTTGAAAGCTAGTTGAACATTCTTAAGGCAGATTCCAATTTGTTTATTGTGCGGCTGCTATTTCGTGTACGAATCATTTCCGTTGCCTCAGTCATTAGTGGTAATTTGACATATTTTTGATGCTATCCACCTTGATTAAACTTTACAAAGTCATATTTCCAAGTGTATTTTCTAGAACAAGCTTCTCAATTGTCATTGGGTTTGTTTTTTTGGGTGTTTAACAGGCCTTTAGGTATCCATTTATCAGAATTTTGACAGTATTTTATTAAAGCTTTAGGTTGGCTATGACTCCACAAATAACTTGTCTTCTTTTCGTTTAAACGCCAACTGAAATAAGTCATGTGCTTATTGTGAATCTTTGCGTTGATTTATAGACATGGTGCGTTTAAGAGGGGGTTGGTAAGTAAAGCGCCTGCTCTTAGCGGATGTCCTTCAACTTCTCCGCCGCTAAAGTTATCCACTCGCTTTCTTTTATTTCCCAGCCCCTGTTCATCGAGCACATTGCTCATAGTACAATCAACAGCCCCTATTTTCTCGTCTTCAATTGCACTAATAAATGGAGATGTTCTTGTCTGTAATGCCAACCTGAGACTAACGTAGTTCAACGTTTCACTGGTATCCTCATGGTTTTATTTGCTTTTTGATGGAGCCTGATGTTTTATTTTCCTAAAAATGGAATCGAGATATTGGGTTTGATTAAATGGTTAGAAGCCAACTGTTTCCACGTCGATGACTGCTAAATTTTCATCTCAGTACTCGATCGTGGTCTTGATTTCTTAGTTTTGCTTCCAATTTCTAGTCTGTCTCTTTTATTTTAGGCCAAAAAGACTGATTCCTCCTCTTCTCAAAAGGAGGCCGTTAAAATCGATCCAGAGTTGGTAGAAAACTGTCTTGAGATGTTGGGTGATGCAGACACAACTGGGGTCTCTCGTCCAGATCCAGAGGACCTCCCAGTAATGGAAGCCAAATGTAAAGCCATGGAACCTCTGATCGAAGCCGAGCTGGAATCTGTCTACGGTCGAATCAGCGAAGTGGATCTTCTCAAACAGAAATTGTCTGAAGCTCTTGCCCAATATCATGAACTGGCCTCAGGTCGAGGTTACGCAACCATGCCCCAGCAATCTCAGGTCAGTAGGGTTTTAATCTAAATGCCAATAGGGTTTGAACTTTGTATCTGTGGCCCTTTAGAATCCTGGACACAGTAACGAAGTAAGGTAGATATTTTTAATGTATGCATTAAAACGGAATTTAATGGCGCTGGAGTAAAATCAATTGAATATCCGGGGAATCGGTTTAAGTAGTAAGGTCTTTGCTGATTTACTTTTTTTCCTACAATTTTCGGAAAATCCATTGAATGAACTTATTCTTGAGCACATCTCTCACTAGTTTCTTATTGAGTTCAATACTGCCTAAAATTTCCTTTCGCGCGAATTGACATTTTAAAGCATTTCACATTATTAAATGTTACCTGCTTTGTTATTGATCTCTAAGCCCCATCTAATTAACGTTTTAATCATCTGTGTGTTTTACTCCTTCAGTACGCTTATCTTAAACCTGGTATCATGCCTCCTACCGTCTATCCTCCTGCTATGGTCTATCAGCCACAACCACCACCGCCACCGCCACCGACTCAACAGCCCCCAACTACGGCAATGTATCAGCCATCTCCAGGTTAGCTTCCAGCAGACTTATTATGTGTTTTAGGAGTTCGGTTTCATGACTGATTGGGAGTTTTCGGGATCTCTGAAGTTTAGTATGTACAATTTACTACCTAATTTACCATTCAATTAGTTTTGTGAGAGCAGAGCTTCCTTATAGGGCTTAAAGGGTAACTGTGTACAAGATTGTCTGATCTTATGCAATCGTTTTGAATCTATCAGGTTATGCATAATTTATTTGATTTTATTATGCCTTTCTGATCAGATGCCACCTACGCGTCGTCATCGCCTGTCTCTGAATGTGCCTGTTACTGATAAAAAAAATGCAGGCTTTATTAACCAAATTCTACTGAAAAGAGTTGGCATATTTTCAAGCTAATTACAAGAGACTTGGAGAGGGTTTATGTTTGTTGAATACTAAGGGGTATTTGCTCAAATCTGCTTCTGTTATTTGAGTTGGCAATGGATTCCGGTGACTGATAATGAAAAGTAGTCGTTTTGCTATGTGCAGCCACTACAAAAACCTGTTTTTATACTTTTGATTAAATGGGCTTGTAGGCGTTTCGTTTTGGGGGAGGGGGGGGGGGGGATTTTAGAGCGTTTGTTTCCCTAAAAGCCGAAACATTTTATCGACTAATCTTGAGTGGCTAAACCTGTTAATACCTCTCGCGTTTTTTCATTCACACCCTGCGCTTGTCACTTTTGTGGAACTGTTAAAATTCTCTTCGTATGATGAGACTCTTCCTTAAGTGCAGTTTTTTGTTCGTGTGGCGAATGACAACTATTAAAATTCTCGTTCTAGCAAGGTTTATTTGGTAAAGAAAATATTAAAACACTACAATTATTCTGTGTATGTAGCATGTGCTTTTTGTATATTTATAACCTGCCACTTAATGTTCAAGCACTTCCGAAGGTCCTGAGGGAATTCATGTTATCGCACTGGGGGCTCGTTGACCACTTAATCAATAAGAATGATTGATCAACAACCGAAGAAGAAATCGTTCTTTTTACTACAACACTGTCATGTTACTAACATAACAGAGTTCAGTAATTCTTAAACCTGGTGTTTGCTTTCTTAATTTGAAGGAATTTTTAACTAGTTAATTGGAATCTATCTAGACTTTATCTTCAACTTCGATCTCTTTTGAGAGGTACCTTATATGGTTGATTCACTGCTTATAGAAAAGTTCTTATAAAAACATCTAATGAATGCACTTCTGATGGGTAAAAGGCTGTTTGTATTTGTCTTTATTCTGCTTTATACCACTAGATATTTGTCTGTATGATTATGCTAGTCTTGCCCTATATGTGGACGAAGTAGACAGATTGCATTTCCTTCGTTTTTAGTGCCTCAGTCTATGATGGCATCTGGTGGTATGGCTCAGTCGTCCAATGGGACTTCTGGTATTCCTTCAGCTCAGTCTGCGGTCTATGCTTATCCACCTGTACAACCTGTCTATCCATTCCCTTATGACCCCAATTTGCCGTGGCAGCAGCAACCCCCACCTGGTGTTCCTCCCATGCAAACTCCACTTCAACAACCTCCCACAGCTTATGGGTGAGTTATTTCCTCCACCCTCATACTTTTTTCTTTCTCTCTTTCTTAAAGTAAAAATGCCTGCATCTTCAAGCACTTTATTTTCATTGATTAATGCAGTCATCCCACTTATCAACAACATGCCTATTCTGGTACCTATCACGGGTAAGTTACGTATGCTATTAGATTCATATTCTCCATTTCTTCAAGCTTTTAGCGGTTCTGTTGCAGTTGCATGCTAAAGCTGGCTCTAGCCACTTATGTGTGTGATTTCTGTTTATTGTTTTTTTTTGGCTTAGCATTTTCCCTTCTTTGTGTTTGTGTGTTTTGAACTTGTTTGATTATTATGCAGGAACGCGCATCCAAAATGTCATGATGTCAATACACTTTGGCTTGGGTAATATGGGGATGGGTTAGGAACCGATGTGTTGTAACCAGGACGTAGGGTCGAAATTGTAATTTGATGTGCTCGTGTATTTATGTGGTGGAAATATTTGAAGATCTCTTAGCATGCTCAAGGAGATTATCTGAATATTCTGACATGCATTGGTTTCTCAAAGTTAGGGATATCAGTCAAATCATATCTGTTTAAGTTTTTAGCGTGGTTGTTAATGTTTTTGTGTCTAGTTATTAAATTAGTCATTGCATTTGTTAAGTTAATTAGAGCCTATCTCTAAGTTCATATTTTAAGTAATTCATATACCGGTTTTAGGAATTTTTGTATTGTCTTGAATCTAAACGGTTTAAGGATTCAACCTTTTTTACTTTAGCACAATGCCTGTGCCTAAATCAATTAGATCTGTTCTTCTACCTAACGAGTTATTTTATCCTGTTCGTTAACCTCATTTTGGCCAATTTCATCATCAATTAGATAGGATCATAGAAAAACGTTTAAGATTGTAATTTAGCATTATTAGCTTTTCATAAATAAAAAGGCTTCAAATTAAAATTTATTTTCTTAGCCATTCCTCAAGTGGTGAACATGGATTGTAAGTTCGAATAAAGGTTTGCTGGAAATAATTAACTAACTCTACTTGCACATTCAAAATCCCACCCTTTTTGTGTGATCAGTAGTGAGGATGACGAGTCAAAGTAAGAAATAATTATCCTAACCAACCCTAGTATTCGGCTTACTCATTGTACTTTAAGTGGTTGTTTACTACTTACTTTTAATGCCCTTCTTTTCTTTGTAGACATTCTCAGTCCAATTCCAGTAACCCACCACCAACCGAATCCTACAACGTGAGCTGAACGCTTCGCTAGGAAGAAAAAAAAGAATTTTTGGGATTTGATTTCCATTAAACTTGTGATTATTCGATTAGCCGATTTTGTCATTGCTTTTCCACCTCTCTGTGCTGTCAAACTGTTGTCATATAAAAACATCAAACTGCCTCCCACACATCATACTTTCTCCCATGGTTCTACTTTCGTCTATTCAGTGCTACTGGTAACAGAATTAAGTGAAGATTTTGTTCTCTTTCTTTTTACTCCTCTCCCTTAAGTTACGCCATCAAAGCGCACTATTTCTTTTGTATCCAGTGGCTCTAAGCGCAAATTAATTTATCGATTAGTGCTGCTTCGTTTATCTGGATATGATTTTCTTGTGTTGTATAATGATGAAATTCGAAAACCGCTTTCAAATACTACAAATCTTACTGGCTATAATTGTGGCAAATTTGGCTAAGTTGCTATAGAGAGTGGTAGGAATTGCTTCGGTCCGAGTATAGTTCAGATTGGTTAATTGGAGAACATGGGCTAATGTCCACTATAATACACTAAATGATGTGGTGGCCGGCAAGTGGTCTGGCTGTGTGGAACTTGTTCGAGATACAAATATCTATTTAAACTATTTGTAATCAAAGTTGATTATTTACTCTGGTTTTATGCGATCATCTTAAGCCAAGCCTTCTAGGCCGGAATAAAGTCTAGGGTAAAATTACAGGGAGGTAATAAATGACCAAATAGAGGTTTTCAACAACTTTAATAAGCGTAACCATACAAAGATAAAAGAGCTATTAGAAGATTTTTTCTTCATTCACATAAAAGAGGAAGAATCTCTTTAAGTGGAACTGCGAATTGAATCCCGTCCTTTTAATTAGACAAGTTTGTGAATAAAAAATCTTTATAAAAACACTCAAGATCCCATTAATGATCATTATTCGAATAGTCGTAGGTATGAATTAAGGTTTACCTAATTTTATTGCATATTCTATTCAATGGAAAAATTAATGCTTCCTTAATCTTCTTTATTTATCTTCCTAAAATAACTAGTGACAAAAGGCGCTGCTATTTCAGTCTTTTAAGTATTTAATTTTTTACTTATATAGTTCGTCTACAACATTCTCTTCCTACATAATTATTAGCCAAATACCTGAATCAAAATCAATGAGACCAAACTACAAATAAAATAAGAAATATGAAAAGTGGCTTTTTTTATTCTGTAACGGATTTAATATACTCCTATTATTTCATCTTCTCATCGCTCATTTCAGGTAACCTTAAAATGCTTTATATTATTCGAATATTGGGTATTTGATTTGATGAGATTCATGAAATAACCATTCCTCAATTTAAATGGACCCTTTATTAAAATTAAATTAATATCCCTCAGAAACGTTGCTAAACTACAGGGATAATGTACCAAATATATTGGAGCAGGGTTTATTTACTTCAAGGTCATTGTCTTTTATAAAAACTGGACGCAAATTTTCTAGAAAAGTAACACGAGTCGTGCTAAATTGAAATGTTTTGGAGACTTGCTCGTCCGTTAGTAAATGCTAGATATTTGACCATAACCCGTGGGTTAATGTTAAATCAAACCCGATTCACGAACAGATACGTATCAAGCATCTCGTCAAATATACTTTCACATCCGATTTGTGCACCAGTATGCAAAATATGTACATTAACCTGCCTAATGTTTTTCAGATTCAAACATGTCAATTTGCAAGATTTTCTAAATCTACTGGGGATGACCCTTCTGAAGCTATAAAGGGCTCCCCTCCACCAACTCCCCCAAATGATGGCCCAGATTATCCACCCCAACATCCATTTGCCCTCTCCACTCAGAATATTCCTGAAAACTTTCCCTGCGTCCCTGTCATTCCAATAAGTGGGCCGCCGCTCTTTCCTAAGTTTGTCAAAATGCTTGAAATCACTGATAAAAATTTAATGGATCTTATTCGTCGGAAAATGAAACTAAACATGCCTTATGCTGGCGTTTTTATGAAGAAGAACCCAAATGAGTAATATCCCATTTTTGCATATATTTATGACGTATTCGTTTTATAATTTTCATTTAAATCTCTAGTACCTCTGATGTCGTCAAAAGCCTGGACGATCTTTATCGTGTCGGAACTTTTGTTCAGATTCCGGAGTGGGATGATTTGGGAACTAAAATTAGAATGCTTGTAATTGGACACAGAAGGTTCGTGTCATTGTCAAATACCTTTGACTATCCCTGTTGTTTTTCATAAATGTTGTTTTCTTTTTATAGAATCCAAATAGTTAAATCTATTCCTGATACGATTGAAGAAACTAACTCCGAAACCCCCTCGGTCGATGACAGATCACGTATGTTGTATTTGAACCCTAACTTTTGCTATTCGGCTAATTTTCTTTTTTTGTGGTGATTCAATATAAATATTTTACCAACGTCTTAATTTGTGGATATCGAGCTTTCTTAAGATATCTGCCATTGCTGTATCACACACTGGTCTTATTGCAAGAATGAAGGGTTTTTTGGATTTCATTTCATACTCTTTTATGGGCTATAATAGCCTTAACATCCTGCATCGATTTTCCAGGTTTCCTTCATCGCGATGACTTTAAGCAACTGATCTATAAAGAGCTGTTGCTTTTTCGTGCTTTTATAATTATCAATATGATTATTCCTTTTTATTTATTACTTTCTCAACTGATCATCTCTGTGCAACATAATTCCTTCGATGTATCCCTGTTTAAATCAGACAGATTTCTGAATTTTCTTAGATTTTTTAAATAGAAAAGATCCCAGACATTTCTTTTGCTTTTAATTTATCGCGGTTAATAAATACCTCGAAGACATTGGATTTTTTAGCTCTTAATTAGTTTTATCCTTGAGATTAGCAGTTTATTATCTGTATAACAACCAAAGTGCTTGTTGTTTATACTTTTAGGAGATTACCTAGGTAAACGTGAGCCTGTCGAAACGTAAATAAAACATCATTCTCTTTCATATCAATTTGGCTCTGAAAGATGCTGTATCGGGATTGATCTTTGTATTCATTTGTTGTAATTTTGTTCATGTCTATAGGAAACAAGCGTAACGGTTTATTCAGGCGCGTTCGAAAAGCTGCTAATGTGGACGTTTCGCCACCAGACAGCACAGAAAATATAGAAAGCGCCTCTTCGGAAAAGACTGTTTCCTCTTTTTCGGATGCCTCAAGTTCTAGCGAAGAAATGTTTTCTTCTCCACCTCCAACCTCAGAAGATGTCCTCATGGCTGAGACGATCAATATCTACAATGAGCCCTTTGAAAATACTCAAGAGATCAAAGCTCTTAGTGGAGAGATTGTCAAGACTATTCGTGACATAATTAATCTCAATCCAATCTACCGGGAGAACGTCCTTGCTATGTTGCAAGCTGGCCAACGTGTAGTGGACAACCCGGTCTATCTTAGTGATCTCGGTTAGTTGGTGTGCGGATTGCTTATATATATATATATATATATATATATATATTTATTTATTTATTTATTTATTTCAAATGGCAGGGGTTATGATAGGTATCATTAGCCCTCTAGTTGACTTCAGGCTTCGCAGAAAGGAAGATGAACAGCAAAGTGGGAAAACGTCGAGAGGGGGACAGAATAATGATTCACAGATATAAAATAGACAGACAGACACAAAGGTAGAAAAAGGTGAGGTAGTTTGAAGTCAGAAGTCAACTGCCGATTAATAGACTTTTTTGCCGTATGAGTATACGTTGCCCAGGGTGTACCACGTGGAGGTAAGTCTATCGCACACCCCTTTTATATATATATATATATATATATATATAAATCTTAACAAATATAGGGCAGACTATTTCATTTTAATTGTCACTTTTGCAGGTGCTGCAATAACTGCAGCTGCTGAACCGGCAGAACTTCAAGAGGTTCTGGAAGAAATGCGTATACCCGAACGTCTGCGTCTATCACTGAACTTGGTTAAAAAGGAGCACGAATTGGGCAGACTTCAACAACAAATTGGTCGAGAGGTTGAGGAGAAGGTCAAGGCTCAACATCGAAAATACATGCTGATGGAACAATTAAAGGTGATTAAACGTGAGCTTGGCTTAGAAAAAGATGACAAGGAAACTATTAATGAGAAATTCCGAACTCGTCTTGCAGTAAGTCGAAAAATTACTCCTTCTTGTGCACCCAAAACAAAAGTCGTGATATCTGTAAATGGTTTATTTCAGGATCTGAAGGTCCCTCAATCGGTTATGGAGGTTATTGAAGAGGAACTTAATAAACTCAGCGTCTTGGACAATCATTCCTCCGAATTCAAGTAATATATTCATTAAATTTCCTTGTAAGTTACCCTTTCTAGTGTAACGCGAAACTACTTGGACTGGCTTACGAATCTACCATGGGGAATTACGAGCGAAGAAAATTTGGACTTATCTCGCGCTAGGGTCGTGCTTGACGAAGATCACTATGGTCTAGACGATGTGAAGAAGCGAATTCTTGTAAGCCACCTTTTTAATCTTTATTTATAATTTCACCCCTTCTTATTTATGTGCAAGCAGAGGTTGAGTTCATTAGGGAGCGAGGAACTCGATATCATATCTTCTGCCATTTTTTGAAATTTTGTCCTCTTCGACTTAATATTTGAAGACTTTGAGTTTGATCGCAGTCTTCTTTGAAGGTGACCGAATGGACTCTCGGATCAGATGTCCTTGTCCTATGGTTAGGTTGGTTAGGTGTAAATGTCAAGATTCCGTACGATTCACTTCTCTTCCTGTATTGATCATATTGAAGCCGATTGTCCGATAAGCAACAAATGTTTTTCGTTTTTTGTCATTGCAGAACTCAGTGTAGCCATTTTGTAAGTTCCATTTATTTATTATCGTCATAGCGTATTTAACTAAAAATGCACTGTGTGTAAATAAGTCAAATCCTTCAGGACAAAAGACATCTACCGAGGTAAAGAAAGACTTGCTTCTCAGAATAGTAGTTTTTTCAATGTAACCTTTTCCTTCCTCCTGCAATTGCACCATTGACAGCTATGCATCCAACTTGTTTCAATGATGTGAAATTGAATCGATTTTTCTTATAATCTATTGAGCTAAACGAACGCCATCTGGTTTTCTTTGTGTTATTTTCAAAGTCGATGACATCTCCGGTTTGAATAGGTGAATTTGTCCTAATGAAGACTTTGTAAATGATTGGGCAGCAGAATTCATATTATATATTAACAGTAATTTTAATTTTCCCGAATATTGGTTAAGAAAATGTATTTTCTTCAGGAATTCATTGCTATCAGTCAACTTAAAGGAACTACTCAGGGAAAGATTCTTTGCTTCTACGGCCCACCGGGCACTGGGAAGACCAGTATTGCCAGATCTATTGCTCGAGCCCTCAATCGAAAGGTTTGTGCCTCATTTCTTAAAAATTCGGCATTCCCGTTTCTGTCTCGACTGATTTATCTCCCTCTCCCCTCCCCCTCTGTAGTATTTTCGATTTTCGGTTGGTGGTATGTCAGACGTCTCTGAAATCAAAGGCCACCGTCGAACCTACGTTGGTGCAATGCCCGGTAAAATCATCCAGTGTTTAAAGAAGACGCGCACTGAAAATCCTCTTATTCTTATTGATGAGGTGAGCTATTTACATATGATTACGTGTTATGTAAGATCGATTAACTTACATGATTTGTTCGTTGGTAGTGTGTGCTAATAAACTGGCACTTAAATGTCTACTTGTTATATCTTGAAGTAGTAATGCAATGTTCAACGTTTTACATCTAGATAGACAAACTTGGCCGTGGTTGGCAAGGTGACCCTTCATCTGCTCTCTTGGAGCTCCTTGACCCTGAACAAAATGCTAACTTTTTGGATCACTACCTTGATGTGACTGTGGATCTTTCTCGAGTGCTCTTCATCACAACCGCCAATCAGGTTGAAGCAATAGCAGAACCTCTGAGAGATCGTATGGAGTTGATCGAAGTCGCTGGTTATGTGGCTGAAGAGAAAATGGCTATTGCTCAGGTTAATATTTATGTGTATCCTATCATTATTGTCTGTGTTTTACTGAAAGGTATAATCGTAGGTGGATTTTTCTCCTTTGAACTAGAAATAGTAGACCAAACACATTTTATTTAAACGGTCAAATATATTCATACAGAATATCAATGTAAATTTACATTTATAAGTCAATAAGCTCAATATTTCTTTTCCTTATTGTACTAACCACCGTCAGCAATTGATTCACATAAATCATGTTTATGCTTTCTTTAACGGTTTTTTTTCTACTTTCAGCGCTACCTCCTTCCACAAGCCTCCAAAGCTTCTGGTCTTGAAGATGGTCAGGTCGAAGTCACCGATTGTGCTCTTCATCGTCTAATAAAGCAGTACTGCCGTGAATCTGGTGTTCGTAATCTCCAAAAGCACGTTGAGAAGGTGAATGACCTCTAATGCGACGCACTTAAATATCATTTTTGCACTTAAAGCCTCCAACTAAATGGCATTAAAGTTGGCCATAGGAAGGAATGCATGTGTGTGGTTTACGAATTTTAGCTCAATAGTATTTGCTGTTGGAATTCACCCTGCCATCCAGTTTTTCAACTTGGTCATTTCTAGTATGCTTTTCTTGGCTTCTCAGGTGAATTCAAACGGATTTGTGGAATTTGAAATTATTGAAATACATGCTTCGATCTCGAAAACTGGTCATGTGGGATGAAGACCTGGAGACGAGTTATTTACGGGACTCGAAAGTTTTTCCCTACCGAATTTCTACCCCATTTTTATTTGCTTTACAAAAACGACAAAGCGTATAGAGAGAAGTCACTGGTTGAACATTTATATTGATTTCAACGAGGAAGTCCGGAGGTTTGTGAGAGATTTAGTTTATGTGAAAGCCGAATCCGCGTGTGGTGTTTTGATGTCCACAAAGGGTACATACAGCTTAGGATAGGAAGTAATTTTCACTTAGCTAGCCTTCAAAATAACTACTAATTGCTAGTTATTATTAAACCGATCGATTAATTTGATTCAGTGAGCTGATAAAATTGAGTGACCTGTACGGTTCTTAGGACAAAGGGGAGTCAAATTTCGAACCAACTAGTAAAGCCGGGCTGACTTCCAGTTGACAATATGAGATGCATTTTCTACGAAAGTAATATGGAAATATTTTTAAGGGAAGAGTTTTGGGAGCCAGAATTTTATTATCTAAAAGATCAATAATCATGATTTCCACAATGCCTTCCTTTTTACAGGTTTTGCGTAAAGCAGCCTTCAAGGTGGTAAACGGAGAGGCTGAAACACCACTACGTGTGAATGAGGACAATTTAACCTCATTCGTGGGGCAACCAATTTGGACGACGGACAGACTGTATCCGGCAGTCACCCCTCCTGGTGTTGTGATGGGTCTCGCGTGGACTGCAATGGGAGGCTCTGTGCTCTTCATTGAATGTATCAATAAAGAACCGGTGCCAACAAAGTCTGCTAAAAGGGAAAAAGGCGATGAGGAGACTTTTAACAAAGGCAAGTAAAGACTGCTGCGGCTGCCTCTTCTTCCTTTGGTGAAGAGTGTTGGCCTCGGGGGCAGGGGGAGGCGACTTTGTTACGGCATTCGCTTATTTATTCATTTAGTGGTCACAAGACTTTCCAAATGCAGGTAACATTTTTGTAGGAATGAGTCTCCTTTGCAGTGATCTTCATTAAGTTTGCACGTTTATGGTATCCTATTGAATGTGCAAGTGAATAGAGATGACCTCTTTTCTTTTGATCGTGTGAATTTATTAGTTATTCTGGCTGTAATTAAGAGTTGTGTCGGAACTCTTTTCTAATTATTCGATTCAATTGTGAACGGATTTCGGTTTAGCAATATTAGAGTCGTAGAACAAAAAAGCTCATATTCAGTTGCAAAAACATATTTTCAAACGTCTGCCTGGCTATTCCTTGCCTTATTTTTGCACCAATGGCCGAGGAACGCATTTTTAAACTCTCATCTCAAGCAAAGGATTATAATCAAAATGCCTCTCACAGTCGGCTATCCTATTTTTTAAGGAATGTTCTTTATAACCCCGGATATTATTATTATATCAAATGGCAGGCGTTTTGATTGTTATCATTAGCCCTTTAGTTGACTTAAGTCTTCACAGAGGGGAAGGAACATCAAAGTGTAAAAAATTCAAGAGGGGGGGGGGGACAGAAGAGTGTATCAAAGACGAAGGTAGATAAGGTGGGATGAGTACTGTGAAAGTAGTCGAATATGACACACAGTGGGGACATGGTAGTTTGAAGTAAACTGCCAGTTAATAGACTTTTTTGCCGTATGAGCATACGTTGCTCAGGGTGCACCACATGGAGGTAAGTCTGTCACACACACCCCATAACCCCGGATATAGTAGACTTGCATTTCCACTGCTAGGTCTCCACCTCAATTTTCAAAGTTCCTTTCCCGATTTTTGTTGAGCTTCCATCTCCAAAATAATGAGGACTCTTGTCTCATAGTTCATGGCGTAGATTTAATGGTGGCGTATATCAGTGGCACCCGCGTCAATATTGTCTGTTATTTAACCATCTATTTAATATCCAAACTTTCTTTACAGGAAGTCTTCAATTAACCGGTCACCTAGGCGACGTAATGAAGGAGTCAGTAGCTATCGCACATACATTCGCCGGCAACTTTGTCTCATCAGACGAAACCATCCGCAGTAGGTTGGAAAACGGTCCCGTCACCTCCTCTCAAGCTCACAATTTCCTTTGGGATGCCAAAATCCATCTTCATGTACCCCAGGGAGCAACTCCCAAGGATGGCCCTTCTGCTGGCATTACAATGGTAACAGCGTTGCTTAGTTTAGCTTGCAACCTCCCCGTGCGTCCTGATCTGGCAATGACAGGTGAAATCAGTCTTACTGGTAAAGTACTCCCCGTCGGAGGAATCAAAGAAAAAGTTATCGCGGTAAATACATTTTCATAGTAAAAACTTACCTTTGCATGTTCCAAATAAGTATATTGACATTCACGTTTTCGTATTTAGGCTAAACGAGTTGGTGTGACTACTGTGATCTTACCCGAGATGAACAGGAAGGACTACGATGATTTGGCGGATTTCATTAAGTCAGATCTTGAGGTTCATTTTGTGAATCACTATTCGGAGGTGTTTCCAATTGCTTTTCCTGCTTAATAAAACAGATACTTACCATTCGATGTAGTGTCAGCACTTGCCCTCTTTTGTATAACTTACATTGACTCGATGCACATGTTAATGCATTTGAGATAAATTTTTTATTGTGCTCGTAAATATAATAGTCGATATATCTCACTGTGTTGATTCTTAATTTATAGTGTTAAGTATTTAATGCATTTATTAAAGCGGCGGTGAGGGTGAAAATGAAGATAGTGCCCATACGATTTTTGGATTAGGGTAGCTGTTATTTGGAAGGTAATCTGTGAGATGAGCTAATACCGCTCAACTTCACTTAATGATCGCTAATCAGAATGGTGCTATATTTGGGATATTAAGAAATTGTCATTTTTGCTTAAATAGTTCCTATGTATAAAATCATCTATTCTCCATATATAAATTCCTTTTGTTTAAAAATACGTAATTGGTATGCCTATTGAATGCGGATAAATATATATTTATAATATATTTTTTTATTTATTATTCATATATATGTGATATATATAGGTTTATCGTATGGTGGCTGCGCTTGGATAGTTTTATGGTGGAACAACGACTTATTACAAAATAGTCCTAAAAGTAACTCTGTTGCTAAGATATGTTGCATAGTCTCTGAGTGATAATTACTTTTGAGGCATATATTTATTGTTTCTGAGTTCTTGTAATTGTGACCGTTTTGGATTTTAGTGCAGATTTCAGTAATATTATAACAGATATTGCACATAAGGTGTACAAATATCCAGTGATATGTTATAAACGGCGAAAACATGCATGATGTGCATGTTAATATTATTCAAAATAGCTAATAATACATAATTATAGGTTATGTATTAGTGGGTGCTTTGATAGACGAAGTATATCTATTGGTTTAGCTTACATTGCTTGCATCTCACTCTCCCATGGTATGAAGATTTTGGTTATTTCGTATTATAAATAAATTCTAAATTCTATATGGATATCTAATTTCTGAAGTTATGCGGCGCTTTAACATATTTGAGATATTCTTCGAAGGTACACATGAAAACTAAAAATTATATAAAAAGCAACTATAAAGTTTGTCTGTTGATTCAGGGCATAATTAAAAGCTATACAGTAAAGTAAGGCCATAATTTCGAGGACCTTCATAGATCAGTAAACTTTGCTGTAGGCCAAAATATGGCCAAGGTTAACATACAGATATGCAAGTGCATGTAATAGATAGTTAACTACTACGATAACAGAAAGTATGCAAACCACACTGCAGTAACTAAAGTCAGTTCAAACATCATTGGAGTAATAGGGAGAAAGGGAAAAATGCTAAAATGCCATGAATGTTCCTTAATGTGGATCGATGTTGGTATTCGATTATCACATCAGTAACTTAATAGACAATTCGTATACAATTTCTTTTATATCTAAGCAGCAAGAGAGAAAATAAAGCATACTCAATCAGCTAATAATTTCTTTTTATTTATATTCTTAAAATTCTGCTCATATTTTTACAAATGTAGGAAAATGTGTTAAATATAGAAAAAATCATCAAATTATCTCACTGATTTTTAATCCTTTAGCCTATGCCCAAGAACATTTAAAACTATATTTAAGAGGGTTAATGCAAGATTAAATTTATTAGAATTTTAATGAAACAGGTTGCAAACGAACTAGCTTTTTATATATCTAAATGAACAATTAACATGTTTGAGTACACTGGAATGAATTCTGAATATCAAAACTCTGAGGCGGCACATGTATTAACAGATGCAAATCTTAGCTTGATTGCGCTTATACTTTTAATAAGCATTTACTGTACTTGGTATAAGCCCAACTTTTGTGTGTTTAATTTCAGTAAAATGTCAAGTGATGTCTCCAATAATACGCATAATAAATTGTGTCAAAAAAGTATTTGATTTTACATGATCGTCTGAACGTTTAGTACATAATGGTTGCGTTCAAGTTGCCGTCAGTCTAGCTGATGAACCATCGATTGCACTCTATCGGATTCAAGAACATATACGCAAGACAGCACCGGGAATAGCTGAAGGACGAGTAACTTTTCCTGATTGCTCATTAAATTTATTTGTAAAGAAGAGAGCTTTAGTATTTTCAGAAAAGTTGCAATCTACAAGTTTTGATCTGGACAACAGTTCTGAGTATGATTTTATTATATATTACTGTGTTTTCCTGTTTAGCGCAATCGCTACCTTTTCTAATGCCCGAACTAATTTGGAAGATACGTTGAAGATTTTAGAGGCCTCTATGAAAATGCATCCAAATATTATTGAAAGTGTCCAAGACAGGTAATATTCATTTCTTTTATGTTTTTTTAATCTTGCTAATATACTATAGTTATAATATCGAAATACTAATTAATTATTATCTTTCTTGTTGCCAGGATGCATTAAGTTGCATTTCATTCGTTGCTTTTTTGCATAAATGTTGTCTCTTTGTTGTTCTCTAGAAACCATAGATCCGAGATTCAAATGGGTATTGATGTTGTTGCATTTATTGATGATTACACTTGACCTGAATTTGCTATTATTTTTTTCTTTGTACTTTCAATCACTCATTTCATCTGATTTATTTTATAAAAGCATTGAATATTTTCCATTTGCTCACTTCTACTTAATTTTGTAAGTAATATGGGAATTTCATTCTTTAATCCTGATTGATGCGTGCTGCTTTAATTAGACTATTAGAAGCTGTTGCTTATTTAATTAACATTGAGAACCATTTTGTTTCCCAAATACATTAAATATACTAGAGCACTAGAATACAAACTGGCATGTTCGAGTAGGCTTTGCTTTATTTGGGATACTCAATTGATTTTGGTGCTGTATGAATCAGGAAAAAATTTTTTACCTCTGGAATGTTTACTTCAAATTGAGGGTGGTGAAGAAATCGTTGGTTTATAATTTTCATTCATGAATTGTGTTGAATTACTGAGTGTCCAACGGATTCGTAAATAGCCAATCTGTTTTTCCTATATGCAATTTCCATTCAGCAAACTGCAGTCAAATTGTTTGCAAGAATCGGGTTGTGCTGAAATTTTCATAAATTTAAAAATAAGCGTTAATATAAGAAACTAAAGCCTTCTGCTAAATGATTAACAGTGCAAGTAATAAATAGTCTATATATAGTCTTCCTTTTTCCTTATTTGAATAATGCATTAGCAGTGGAGAAGGCGAAACATCACATACCAATTCATTAGTAGTTTTATTAAGAAGAAAAGTGAAGGGTAACACTACCAAACAAGACAGCATGTTGAAAAACGCAAATATTGATGTCTATTTAACCGTTGGATCTGCTGTTCAATGGCGATCTCGAAATAAAATCAACAAATTGAAAAATCGCGTCACATATTCAAACAAGACATTAAAGAATGGCTAAAGTGCATTGCCCACAAAAATGCAGCGCTTGCTGTACTAACCCAGTAAGCTCCCGTTCCCACTGCTGTAATCTTATTTGCTTCATAAAATAGGCCTCAATTGTCAGAAAGCAATAATGACACATGGTTTAGCAAAAGGGTTCACTCACTTCTACCAAAGGTCTTTTTATGCATCCTCAATGCCTTCGTCTCACATTGATTTTAGTCTTGATCGACCTGTCCAAGTTTATCCCCACCCCTTAACGGGTGTATATATTTTCAAAGCAGGTTGTGCGATAGACTTACCTCCTCGTGGTGCACCCTGGGCAACGTATAATCATACGGCAAAAAGTCTATCAAACCGGCAGTTGACTTCCGACTTCAAACTACCACCCCCCCCCCCCACTGTATGTCATACTTGACCCCTACCACAGTACTCATCTTACCCTTTCTGAGCCTTGATGTCTGTCTGTTTCTTTTACATCTGTGAATCGCTCTTCTGTTCTCTCTCTCGAATTCTTCTCATTTTGATGTTCCCCCTCCTCCCCTCTGTGAAGCCCGAATCCAACTAAAGGGCTAATGATAACTATCCAAACGCCTGCCATTTGTTATAAAATAATATTTTCAAAGTGGTCTGAGGTTATACCCACCGTTATCGACAACGTTCTTTTACAATCGCCGGCTAAATATCTATGGTCAAAATGACCGACTCGTTGATAATGCGTAAAAAGCGAATTCCCCTATCACAAGGTGGGTGAGGGGAGGGGAGACCCTTTTATCTAGTGAAAAGAAGGTTGGAACTTCACGTTAATGTCCCAAACTGAATGGTCTATCGTAAGCATCTCCATTTTCTAAAAGCGTATTTATTATATAGATGAAATTAGCTTAATACTGTGTTCCAACTGTATTCTGGCATTTGCAGACTGCTTTGCAAAGCATATATAGTGAAATAAAAACTGCTCTGCCGTCCTCCAGCTTTCTGTAACCTCGAATTAGAAATTAGCAGTCCTGGGTAAGGAGTTTGTGCTCATTCGTCCCAATTTGTAGAGTTAATTGCCGATAATTATGGGAAGATCTAATTGCATACTGCGAGAGGTTCATAATGCACCGTCTTGTTATGGAGAATGCTGAATTGATGTAAACGGTTCAGGTTATTTCAACTTGAACAAGCCATTCAGAGTCCCATTAAGCTGCTCCCCTTCTTTATTACAACTAATATGCTTTTAATTTGTACTCCTTTAAACATAGGATGTCATTTTACACTTCACTCTTCAAGGTAAAGACTTGCATGATCGGGGACTGGAAATATTTTTACATGTAGCTGAAATTGGTCTGTCTTCCATAGAAGTTGAATCAAAGCATTAATAGCTCGCTAATACTAGCCTGAAATGCTCTAAAACTCGATTTAAGAAGTAAACAATTGTATAGCATTGAATCTATCTCAAAACATGGAATTATACCGTCAGGGTAGATTACTGAACCGTTACAGATGTGCGCTTTTTAATCTTAATTTTCGTCGAAAAGAAGAATTCTGAAGAAGTGGACCTTTTACTTGGTTAGTCTAAATCATTGGGTCTGATAAGGATGTAGGACGATGGCAACAATTTTGTGACCTACTGCCTTTCGAGTGGAAGCAACCCAGAAAATGGGCTCAATATTCGATTTTGAGGCAACAAGTGAAAAGGTCAAATTTTTGCTCTGTTAGTTTAGTTATGCTTCAGCATTGGAAAGTTTCTGATTCCATACTGGCAGATAAATGATAAAGCACTATTGGGTTGGTTAATTTATTATACACGAGATTAACTAGGTAGCTAATTTAGATATCAGTTATGTTAATTAGGAAACTCGACATAGTTAAATGTACAGATAATTGGGGAGAAGGATAAGATAATAGTAATCGAATTACCATAACACCATGTAGAATTGGATGTTCGAATCTTTCCAAGACCCTAGCACGTAGATATCAGGGCAAGACGTAAAATTAATGTGCTGCTACCATGAAATAAAATGAAATTTGAGTCAGTGGAAGAACGCTTGTGGTAAAGAAGGGTGGACGGAAATCGTGCTTAAATGACCAGTGTCCGATGGTTCAGGAAAGTCTATAAATGACTCAGAAGTTGAAGGCCTAATGAAGAGGGTGGAAATCGTAATAAAATCGGTAAGAAACAGACGAGAGAAAATAAAGCAAACACACCAAAAGCTAGCATACATATTGGCTCATGATCACAGCGTGTTTCAATGGGAACTTTGATCCATTTCGTCAAACGAAAGAGAACTGAAGGACAGGCATCCAAGCATCTTATGGAGATATAGTTTATGTAAACTAAGTGAGTAAGCAATTTCCTCTTTCAGTTTCTTAAATTCGCTATTTTTAAAGAATCTTTTTTATTAAAACACAATGAATTGTAATCTTATTTTCAAAAAATTCTGAAAAATGTCATTAGCCACTCTATATTATAAACTAGGCAACCACTAATTAAAATTTAGCCTTGATTTATTGATTTATGACTAATTAATCTTGACTTTATTTTAAAATAGCAGCAGCATATTAAAGACGATTTTAAAATAGAAATCCAATAAGGAAAAAAGAAAACACCGTGCTACAAGACGAAATATTTATTGGCCAATAGAAACAGGGGGAGCAAGTGCGAAATTTTGTAATACATCTAATTCAATTAACAACAGCAATGGTGGCAGCAGTTTCGTCGACCTAAACAAAAGTTAAAATAAACGGTCAGATAAAGGATTAAAACACTGGTGATGCCCTTCACATATTCTTTCTACGCAGTGTGCATAAAATTTAACAAAATTTGTACAAAAATCTAATCTGTTAATTATTTTATGAATTGATAAAATTTCGAAGGAGTCTTACAGCAGCACGTTTTGCAGCAGTAGGTACAGCAATTGTGGCAGCATCCACAGCCTCCACATCCACATCCACAGCCGCAGCCGCCACAGCCGCCACAACCACAACCGCATCCGCATCCGCAACCACAGCACATTTTGTTCTTAGTTTGTTGACCAATTCACTTGCTTGCTCTTCTTGGGTACACCAGGGTCATTATATACCTCCCAAGATGCGCAATTCCTGAGTGAAATTTCAGCAATTTCGATGATTGCACCATTGCGCATGAAATGACACTTGTACCTTCGCTGTTTAATTGACAAATGCCAATTTTAACTTCTACCCTAGTAGTGGACATTCATTGTTAGTTTTCGTTGTTTGCTAATAATACTCGAATAATACAGACGCATATTTGGAAAGTGAAAGACTTCTGAGGTGAAACTGTCATTTAAATTTCGTTTATAATTACCCTTATAGTCATTATTAAATTGTTTGATGATGTCATATAAATTTCAAAATTTAAGAAAACTCAGCTAATTTTAAAACATGAATTCGTAACTAAATTTGGGCCCTTTTTTGACTAAAATCTTTCTATTGACTTGCAGAATCAGTTGAAATAATTTGCCTTATAACATTAAAAGCTGCAAAATAAAAACCTGCAGAATTGGAAATATTGCTTTTCTTAGGATGAAAAAGAATTCACTAAACTTATTAAATATATCTAGCCCAAAGATAATACTAGTTGAGTGTCTAATAAGGACGCCAGAAATCGATATTTTACAAAAACGGTTCAAGTCAAAATAACCTACAGAAATCGAACGCTCTGAAGAAGAATGCTACTCAATAAAATCTCCTTTTTTCTTGAAAGTACTTTTATCATTCGAAGGCCAAATTTACCAGAAAGCAAACCCCATATTTTTCGATATAGTTAGTCAAGCTATAAGTTAACACCTATTGGTTAAAAATAATAAGTTTTATCACTTAACAAAAACTCAATTTCACAAAGTTACATGCATTATCAAGAATCTTTTGAAATTGATCAATTTTGAGCGTAATCTATAGTTTAATATTGTTCGAATTTTATAGCTCATG